TCTCAAACTCCTGGCCTCAAGCGATCCGCCTGCTTCAGCCTCTCAAAGTGCTGGGATTATAGGCGTGAGCCTCCACACCCAGCACCACATTACATTTAGTCATCATGTCTCTGTAGCCTCTTCCAATCTGTGACACTTTTTCAGTCTTGACACTTTTGAAGAGTCGAGAACTCTATAAAATCTTCCTCAGTCTGGGACTGCCTATTATATTCTCAGAATTATACTGAGTTTAAGAATTTGGGAGATGAACACAGAGGTTAGGTATCCTTGTCACATCATATTAGGGTCACGTGTTATCAACATGATATTACTGAAAGTGTTAACCTTGATCCTTTGGTTAAGATAATCAAGTTTTAAAACAATACTTCATGTTTATCATGTAATTCATAAGAAGACTCATGCTACTATAGAGTTATATCTACACTTCAGTAACCAAACACGTATTTCATTTAATGATTTTATGTACTTTAAGAATCTAGTGGTAGCTGGGCAGTGAGGCTTATGCCTATAATTCCAGTGCTTTGGGAGGCTGAGGTGGGAGGATCACTTAAAGTTATGAGTTCAAGACCAGCCTCAGCAACATTAGCAAGACCCTGTCTCTAACCCCCCCTCCAAAAAAGTATTAGTTTAAAAAAAAAAGGAGTGTAGTAGCTGATCCTGGACTGTCAATTAATGGAAAAAGCATAAGATTTGGGGCCTCCAGATCTGAGTTCAAATCCTGTGGTCACTACTTACTGACTTTAAATCACAATCTCTATCGGCCTCAATTCCCTCACCTAAAAAATTGAGATAATTACCATATTTACCTCACAGAGTTGTAAAGATCAATGCATGCATCATATTTTATAACCATAAAACACTACAAATATTAATTGTTGCTATTATGTTTAAGCTTTTGAGATGTTTAATGGGTTCCTTTTTTTTACTTTACAAAAGTACTTTAATAAGTAGTATGAGTGCCCATATGAAAATGTCTGCTGAATCTCAGAAATAAAATGCCAAAGTCACAATTATAAAGTGATTTTTTTAAAAGCCTGCTGTGGGTACCAGTCTATTTTTCTCTGTTCTATAAATACAACAAAGAGGAAGACTTTGAAGCCAGTTAAAGAAATTGTAAATACCACATACATACTTCCAAATGTTAATCATTCAGAAACTGTGCATACTTGAGTCAATGAGGGAGAAGCACAGAATTTGACTAAATCGTATTTCGGTAAGTCCTTTAAAATGATTACAAACTGCTGAAGAAAAAGATTTGCATGACTTTTAGTATTTAATATCCAATTATAAAGGCTGTATTTCATAATTTGAGGGACATATCATTACTACGTTAAAAAAGAAACCACCAGTTATAATAGAGAGCTTAACTGAGAATCTTTCTTATAAACCATGTTAGAGTATAAGCTTATTGAAGGCAGAGATACCCTTGAATCTACTTCAGAGAACTAGCACTCAATAAATATTAACTTGTCATTGGAAGTACTTTGTAATGCCTACTTATGCTCTCTGAACTAAGGCTACAAACTCTGTGCTGCCAGTTTGGTTTGCCCAATAGGCAGACTAAGCACATGCTTTAGGGCACCTGCAAAACCAGAGTTTGTTTTTTTTTTTTAACTTTCCTGAAGTATATTTCAGCAAAAGAACTGAAGTCATCATGAGAAAAAAATCAGAACTTTGTTGGATTCGCTGACTCCCCTTCAACTCCCATAACCACTTTTTTTACTCTTATTTTTGGATTTGGTATTATTTTTATTTACATGTGAGGAAGAGGTGGTAGAACATAAGAATCTTTTCAGTGCTTAAGACCTCCAAAAATCTTAAATTGTGTATCTTAAATTACCATACATTTCATTTGCTCAGTTATTCAGCAAAAAGTATTTTATTTCATAAAATTATAATACATGCATACACATACTTTATATAATAAATACAACTTAAGATTATTTCCCATCAAAATATTATCTCTAACCAAGAAATTATAATACATACTAGAAAACAACTCTCATAAATTGGACAAATACCAGTTCTCTTATCAGCCAACAGTGCTTCTATATCATCGCACCCTCCAGCTGTACTAAAAGATTAACATAATTCTCAGAATAATTCAAAAAATAAATTATCTATTTTTTACTGGTTTAAATGGAATCTTAAATGTTCTATCTGAAACTTCTAAATATACATAAGAAATGAGGAGTTTATTTTTTGTGTTGTAGGCCCAACTTGATTCACAGTTCAAGTTTTGTTACCTGAGAAAAGAGCTCTCGTTATTTTTTGGTTTTGTTTTTATCAACAATTACTTTGAAGAAAACACTGTCAGATCCTTCCCAGCTTCAACTCTCCCTTTACCTGCCATCCAATCTGTTGCTGGATGATTATCCAAATGCTGAAATACAGCATTTATAATTGGATATTAAATACCAATAGACATGGAAAACTTTCTTCGGCAGTTTGTAATCATTTTAAAGTACTTGTAGAAATATAATTTCAGGTGTTTCGTTGCTAATACTCCCAAAATACTAAAAGGAGAAAGATACAGATGTTGCTTGAGGTTATGCTTACCAAAGGCCAGTTCTAATTAGACCACTTGTCATCTTTTGCTTGGTTTCATTTTGATTACTGGGTGCATCATGCAAAACATCCATGTGATGGGTATTTTTAAGAGCAAATATTATAGAAAGTAGTTAATTATTCTCACATAGCTAAAAGAGGAAGCTAATAGTACAGAAAATTGGTGTAAGGTGATTAAAGAAACAATTTGGAAAGAGACTATTCCCTTACTTCTCGATACCATCCCAGCCCCACCCCTCAAAAAAACCAAGCCATGGAGATTGGCAGTTGAGGGAAACTGCCAGGAGATGGGGGGCACATCTCATCAACAAGGGTACCTTCATAATGAACATTTGTATACCTAAGCCTGAATTATATATACCCCACATCTTTAAAATAAAAAAGTTAAAAGTTAAAAAAAAAAAAATCACGCCACATCTAAAGTAGTGAGAGGACTTTGGTAACAAAAAACCGGTCGTTTTAGAAAACATTTCCCAAGGTTTATTCTTAGTGTTGCTTTAAAATTAATGTTGCCTTTCGCCTTTTCCTACAAGAAACATGAGGGCTTCAGAGCTGGTTATGATTTCTTTCCTCCACTGTGTCTTCACTTTCCTCAAATTCAGCCTCTGCGAGACGCGCTTCTTCTGAGCCGCGTCCCCACGGCCACCTCTGCCCACCGCGGCCCTCGGCGTGGATGTGGCAGGTGCGAGGCCCAGGCCCGGGCTCAGCGAGGAAGGCCGAGTTCACCAGCGCGCGCCCTAGAGGAGGCGGCGGCCGCCGCAGGCCCGGCCGCCCCAACTTCGCGCGCCGGGAGAGCGAGCAGAGGCGGGATGACCTGCCTGCCAGCGGTGGAGAAGGCTCCCAGTGCGCCAGCTCGCTCCCCGCCTTCCAGCCGCCCCCGTTCTCGCCCCCGCGGGGCACCGGGCGGCCCAGGGTTTCGCGTCGCCGACTCCAGCCCGCCCGCCCGGCTCGGCGGGCCCGAAGCCCGCTCTAGCTGAGGCCAGGCCGCCCGGCAGGCGGCTGAGAGCCGGCGCGAGACGCTGAGGACAGGCGGACAGGCAGCCAGGCAGCCAGGCAGCCGGGAGGCGGGAACAAGGGCGCGGGGCCGGGGGGCGGAGCCTGCGAGGCGGCGAGCGAGAGCGCCGGCGGGGCGGGGGCGGGGCCCGGCCTTCCCGCTCCCGCGGCGCTGCAACTCGGCGGAGCCTCCTTAAAACTCTGCCGTTAAAATGGGGGCGGGTTTTTCAACTCAAAAAGCGCTCAATTTTTTTCTTTTCAAAAAAAGCTGATGAGGTCGGAAAAAAGGGAGAAGAAACCGGCACCGACTCCGAGAGGCAACAGAAGCTGCAATTGTTTCAGCGAGAAAAGGAGCAAGGGAGGGAGGGAAGGAAAAAAGCTGAAAGGGAGGACGACGCGCAAGTGCCCGTAGCGGTGAAGGGAGCAGGGACCGGCGATTTGGGGGGACCAGCTACAAAAGAAACTGTCACTGGGAGCGCTGCTGCTTGGGAGGAAGCAGTGCTGCCAGGCTCGGCTCCAGGGCACAGCTGGCTGGCGGCTGCCCTGTCTGCGGCACGGGCTAGGGGCGCAGGCCAGGGACCGCGCGAGGTTGGCG